AAAACGCCGATTAAATGTTTTTCAAAGCCATAATGTGAACGGGGGTTCTCTGTCGCCACAACAGACAGATATGACTCCAATTTCTGATAACTTTCTTCCATGTTTCCTTGTAATGCATCCGCCAGCTGACGCTTGATCCTGGAAGCGGTCTGACGATTCGATTCAATGTTTTTGCTGAGAAGGAATTCTAGAAAAGCTTTACCCTTCACGGATGTTGCTAGATCACCTTCCACGAATGAATCCCCTTGAAAACCAACGTGGTGGTAGTGGTCGTGAGCTATACACATCTTGGTAACTTTCCATTCGTCTCGAATTCCATACACCGTGATGAAAAATGGACAAGAGGGAGTTGTGCCAGGCGTCAGTTGCTGCTGACCTTTTAACACTTTGCACTCATATCTGGCATCACCCTCCTTCTTCATCTTACGAAAGCTATTTGTCGCGACACGAATGAAAAACCCAGCTTGACTAGCAAACTCTCGACATCGTTGTAGCAGTACTGCTTTCGTCCCAAATGACTCTGGTGCAACGTTATTCCCTCGATTGACAGCGGATCCATACGTCTCAAGGTCGTTTCGTTCCAGACTCAAGTCCAAGTCACTTCGTAGTAACCCCAGGCGTCGGGGAATTGAAATATCCTCAAGCTCAACACAACTAACGCGCAACGATTCGTGACGATCAGGTGTGTTGCTCTTCGACTTTGATGCACTCGATTTCTCGGGAGTAGTGGTGCTAGGTACAGTCACATTCAACGGTGCTGGTGTATCGTCTCGACTCCTTGAGTTAGATGGCATTAGCATTAGCCGGTCTCTTTCAGAAAATGGTGACACGTTTGCAGTTTCCGACATTTTGGCTTGGCTAACAGTGCACGTAAGGAGTCTTTGCTAGAGCGCAAAATATGATGAATGAAGGGACGTGAGCACCTCGTCCTAGCAAGGCGATGGGGTTTCAAAACTGATTAGCCAGGAAAAGTTGCGAAACGGACTGGCTGTAGAACGGTCATGTCTTCTTTTAGCTCGACCAAGTGGAGAATGTTTCCTGGGTGTGAGCTCCACTGGAAATACTAGGTAGTACTATTGTACGCTTCTTAAATTTTGCACCCTCTATTCGTCGATCTAATCGTTTTGACTATTTTTGGAAGTCGTTGAGACGAAAAAGAACATCTCGCTTTCCAAAGGCCATTTAGTCTTTATCTCAGCACCGTCCAGCCCAAAATGACCACAACGCCGCCTTCGCTGCCCCAGACATGTGATGCTAAGGTAGCTATCAAGATTGGGGAGCCACAGACAGACTGCCGGATAACCCACTCTTCGCTCGAGGCTTCGTTCTCAATTGCTGAGGGGTACGCTGTTCTTCGCGAACGAATTAAGCGACCTGTTTCTAACGAGTCTGGCATCACATGGGATGCTGAAAGCGGGCTCTACGCTAAAGCAACGGTGAACGCTCGTCAGCGTGCTACAAACGCGTCCCAGAAGAAGAAGGATCATTATACCAGTTCTTTTCGTCTATTTGGTCGAATCCAAAGCGTCAAGACCACCGTTTCTATTTGTTTTTGTACGCAATCCAATTCACCGAGCTACAGCGGCTAGGACGGCCCGCTCTACACGGAGAATTTCAGAGCACTTGCAAACTACAAACGGATCGCCATTGGGGCCTGCATCACTAGACTATTGGGCAACTGTTCAAGTGCGACAGCCTGACGACGCACCTGTACTTCGCCCAGACAACGAGACATTTCGACAACTTCGATACATTGACGCACAAGCGCAGCGACACCAACATGAAATTGCTACTAGTGTTGCAACGCGTGAAACGCGTTGCATACACGTATGCCTGAATGGCGTACTGGTGCCAATTGACTTGGACATTCTGGAGGTACGCCGAGCGCTTGGTCTACCAGGGTACGACCTTTGCCCTCCGTATCGCGAGCGTGTGGTACCGCCTACGGCAGAGCCACATGATCTTCCTGACATCGACCACGCAGAGAGCGATGATGGCCGAGATGCTAACGATGAGGTAGACGTGGGGCAAGACGTTTAGAAAAAGAGAAAAAAACGAGAACATTCCCGTGAACAGATTGTCATTTAGCTAGTTTATATCCGCTCTTTCGATGAATACATTTTCAACTAAACCTGCGGCGTATCCACACTTACGGTATAAGTTTTTCCCCACGTACTCATTTGCCCTAGTGCACTCCCGAAGTGCCACATTCATTACTGCTTCTGGATTAACCCGAAAATCCATATTGGCGTGGTTGATGATCCATCTCTTTAGCAAGGAAAATGAAACTTCAATAGGGTTCAACTGTGGGCAATAAGGTGGAAGGAAGAAAAGCAGAGCACCAGTGGAGTGCACTAGTTATTCTAACTCGCGATACATATGTATCTTAGCATTGTCAAGAATGACAATGCTTCGAGGCAACGGCCACGGATTTAAAAAAGGCGCAATATGATCACGAAAAGCTTGGTGAAATTCCTTTCGTGAAAATGTTCCTCTTGTCATCTTCCATGCAAAAAAACCAGTAGTGTTCATAGCTGCGAGTACCGAAACGCGTTCTCCTCGGGCAAATGGAAGGTCTACCACAGCTGGCATACCTCTTGGTGACCATGAATGACGACGCATGCAATCTCGACCGGCTTTAGCAGTCTGATCAATGAATATGAGCTGCTCCGGACCGGAATACAACGGTAGTAACTTATTATAGTACACGGCGATCTCAGCTGGGGCTGCCTCCCGGGCTCTTTTGCTCAGAATCTTGCGAGTAAGATGGCGATCAAACCGAGAGCACGGCAGATCGTTGCCTCCGACGTATTGCGTAGTGTCGGGAAGCGTTCCTTGAGAGCGCTGCGCAATTCATCGATATAGAAGCATGGGTGGGTTTCAGCATACTCACCGACGAAAGCACAAACGTTGTGTGGCCATCTTGACTTCTTTTGCTTTTTCCAGTACCCTCGACAGTTCCCCGACTCACAAACCATCCATACCATCGCTGTATAGACCGTTTTGATACACCCAGGACGCTAGCCACGACTTCTACTTTGATGTCGTAAACCTGCACCAAGGTGACTGTTGTGGTGTAGGGATTTTCAGGTTCGACCATACGCCAACCTACTTTAGATCAAGAATCGGCTCGGTCTGATAGCCCAGATCTTAGGAACAAAGGATCACGGTAAGTACTCGGCGATCTGTCCGGATATGCTATCCGGATAGCCGCTGAGCTTAACGGTCGCCTGAACCCAGCTGAAGGGTCGGTAGAGATCCGAAACGACTACATTTCACTAAATATTTGTAAAAGAAGCATAGGATTAAATAGGGGGAGCCGAAAAGGCTCCCAGAAGATAACAGAGCAGAATTTTCCTAGTCCAAGACACGTGTACACTTTTCCGGTAAGTCCTTGCATAGGGCTGAATTATGCCTGCCGTTAATACTCGAGAGGCATAGCTTGTAGGGTATTGATTGGTAGCGCCAAGCGATTAGGTCGGTCCGGGTAGGACAAAGTCTCGCTACGCGCGAAAGAAAGCCCCGCATACTCAGCGGGCCGGTACGTCGGATAGCCCGGGTGCCGTAGCACTTCTAGCTGAGCAGTCTCTGCGCTCGGTGACCTGTAAAAGCGCTCGCGCGCCGTCGTCCATCCTTTGGTGGAGGGCACAGGGTTGTGAACGAGTTCAGCCGAACCAAACTCGGCGGAGCCTCGGAAGTGATCTGACTTGGTTAGTCGAAACCGAGTGGAAGCGAGCCACTCGTCTGTCCCGGAAGGGCCGACCCGCGAGGGGACCACCCTCTGCGCAGGCTATACAACCACCGACCTAACTCGGCGATTCGTTGTGGTTTGTGTAAGGAATCCACATCTGACGGTATTTGTGTGTTCTACTACACCACACTGCACGCCAACGGAGGTCGCTTGACTTGGTCATTGTCCGTCAACAATTTCCAGAACTGAAACAAAAGTGCTGACGATTTGTCAGAACGAATGGCACACACGCTAAGTGCCATTCGTTCTGAATGCTATTAACTCGTTCTCTAACTTGTCAATCCTGTTAAATATGTTAGTCGTTCATCGATAACTCGTTGTGCACAAGTCAATAAGTCGTCATGAAAAGACTGGGCTGTGCCAAAATGCAAGAAACGTACAAATGCAGTAGCAATAATAAGTATGATCGTACGATTGGGCCAGTGTGGCCTTGTGCGGGTCGTACGATATTACTTTTAAGACTTTGATATATGTTCTTAAATTTTAAAAGGTCATTCTAAATTTGGTTATTTGTTATGCATTAGGTATATTTTTGGTGTCAGTCTACCTATTTTTGAAAAACACACCTACTTATTTTTTCCATTTTGGAGCTGAAGTTAGTTGATCAGATCGGTTTGTGTGAATACAACATTTTCTCCACAGCAAGCTTCTCTAAACCACCTGTCGTGTAATTGTGGTAGAGTTGTATTACTGTAATAGTAACGACTCCGGTAGCTAAGAGGAAAAGACAAGCTGCGGCGAATTTGTGGCGCTCTCACGCGTACATGTAGATGCCGCGATCGAAAAGACGCAATGAAAAAATATGCAGGCATTGAGCGCAATGTCGCTGCTCAGTCCAAGACACTGCGTCGATGAGGGCCATTGCTGTATATTATTATAATAGCGCTAGTGTTGCTTCTCTTCCTGTTTGCTGTCGAAATTGTGGCACTCGAGTTGCTGCACGTGCGGCTCTTAAACGAAATCGATGACGACGTCACTCGAGTTTGAGGCTCTAGCGGCATGGGAAGCTGCTGAATCCTCGAATTGATTTTTTCTTCATTGTGACAAACACACTAAAAAAATTCAGACGGTCAAGCAAAGCAACATCGTCTGGGGATATCATACCGCTGATGCCACCATCTTAAAAAAAAATCACCAGCATTTATGATTCTTTGGTCCGACATTTCATAAACCGTTACGATAATACAACGTGATGGCAATTTGCTGCGTCGGTAACAACGAAGTTGTGGAGACGCTTCCTGAGAACGAAATGGTGGAGAACTCACGTCCAGAGCCGCTGGTCTCGGCCGTGCAGCAGCAGAAGCTTCGAGAAGTCTACAGCTCGCCCATGCGTCCGACGCAGTATACGCGCACGCCCGAGGAAGTCGGGAAGACGAAGGAGACGCCGCGTGAGGCTGCAGCTCGTCGTGAACGCGAACGTGTGAGCATGGAACAGGTGCTGCTAGACCGTCGCTGGGTCTTCCACTGCGCGTCGCCGCTCTTTCATTTCCACCGCGACAAGCTCAGCGAATACGCCCACGATTTAGTCAAAACATTGCGCGCCGCGGCGCTGCGGGCGTGCGGCCAACAGTTTGGCTACAGCGTTAGCATCCGCAACACAGATGCGCTCGTTGCCTTCCAGATCCGTGAGGAACGGGACCAAAAGACCATCAGAGAATCCGACAAGATGAAAGCACGCCCAGAACGCTCGGGGGGCTTTGTGCTCTACTTCCCGACCGATGAGGAACAGCGTGTGCCGCGTAGAGGACGAGAGAGACAACAGGTTCTGCTACTGAGAGGAGACGAAGAGCTGTTACGTTGGGTCTGCTCGTGGCTACAGCGCCGCTTCCAGTGCGTGGTGAGCACACATGTCGTGCATATTCAGCAGCTGAATCTCAAGCGCTTGGCGCGTAACTGGGCGGTTGCGAGTCTGTTGGCGGAAGAAGCGAGACGATCGAGTGTCGTGAATAACCAGGAAGAAGTGGGGCGAATAACTACGCGAGAATCATCGCGAGGGCCGCTGCAGCTCAAATATAGGGCTACAAATGAGGAGGACGTTGTGCGTACGTACACAATGACGGTGCCCTGGGCCACACTGCGTCGGCTCTTTCAGCAGACGAAGGACGGACCTGAAGGCAATCGTCCGTCTAATTACGCGCCAGGTACGCGACAAAGGTCGTGCCTTTTATGATGAGCTGTTGTTGACGTGTCCTGCTGCTTGTTTCCAGAGCTCATTGAGCTAGTAGAGCGACTCTACTTTGATTCCTTGCCATTTGACTTGTCCACTTACGAGATCGAGCGAGTTGAGATGGAAGAAGTGGCTGTTGACCTGGACGGAGGCGTAGAGGTGAGTCTTTCGTCGCTTATCAAGTCTAGTAGTACTTATTATCTGTGTGTCGTGAATTAAAGCTATACAGCATGGACCTTGTGCACACAGTTCTATTCAGTCTACTGGAGCTACTAGCAGTGCAGAATGTCGCCGCAGCTTCTCGTCCAGAGACGACGCTATGAGGATATCACACACATAACAACCGACCCAACGTCGAGACTTTAACATACTTTCGAATACGCAAGTGTTAGCACGTGTAGCATTACGTACAATTCGGTGCAATTCATTCACATGCAAACGTTCTAGCTGACGTTGTTCGTAAAGACTCGACGCTTAGTTGTATCGGCTAAGGTCAAGTTTGGCAGCAGGACTGCTAATCTGAGGAAGCGACGAGTGTCCACGAGTTCCAGCAGCTGGAACTGAGGCGGTGAGAGCAAGACGCAGCGTTGTTTCCAGCACACTACGCAACGTGGGTGTCATGGCCGCCACAGCTTCTTTAAATGCAGCAGCGTGAGTCTGTGCAAAGCACAGAAGCAGTCGAGCCAAGATACCTGGGACTTGCGACGGAATCACGTTGTCTGGAGTTGTCGGTGATGGATGACTGAGCACAGACGCAAGTCGAGGGAGCAGCATGTGCACAAACACAGTTCCATGCTGGCCATTCAACTGCGCCGTCAGCAAGCGCAGAAGCTCCTCCGCTTTATCCAGCTCAGCAAGTTTGGCCGGCATCTCTGGGTAGCCGTTTGTTACTGCAACAATCTCTACGAGAGAGGGGCCGAGTGTTACCAGGTAGCGATTCAGAATGGACGTTTGATGCGCGTCCAAGAGCTTCTTCACAACGGCGTGCAAACCTCGCAAAAGATCTGCACTGACAGCATGTTGCTGCTTCTTCGCGTCTTCGTCTTCAGTACTAGGCGCAGTATGATGCTCCAGCATTGATAAAGTTGTTTCTGTTACCTCATTGTGGAAACGTCCTGCGTCGGCTTGAAGATACGGCGGGAAGCTCACAGCATAATTTGCCACGATCTGCATCGAAAACCCTGGAGCAGTGTGGACATCAACCTTGAGCCATTCCGCAAGGAACTCGAAAGAGCTGCGAACACTGGACTTGACTTGGGCTGAGACGTCAGTCGCATCGCCTTTTGCATCACACGCACGTGCCAGCGCGAGCACCGACTCAGTTGAAGCACGACTTAAGGTCACCACAGCTTTCTTAACTGCAGAAGAATGATGGTCACCAGCAACAGAGCAAATGATCTGCTGTACCATAGCAACCGAGCGTATTACCCCATGCCGTGCTTCTTCAGTCGTGTGTAGAAGCACGATACCATTTGTAGCAAACTGTACAATTTCAGTCATGTGCTTGGTATCCTCAACACTGGTAGCGGAGCTTCTACGAGACCCTGTGGCTCTGCTACCGATGCTCACAGCTCTGGCATGTCTTGTCTGTTCAGTCGCGTCACACAGCTGGCAAACGACCTCAGTTGGGCACAACCCGACTTGTGCTACCGTGTCGAAAAGGGCAGCAGCGCGCTGTTGTGCATCTTCTCCAGACTTTATAGTCTCACGAGCAAATGACAGATTCTCGCGTGATATGCAAGAGAACATCGCCTTCAGGGCCTCAACTTGCGCAGGGCCAGAACATCGCTTACTTGCCAGCATGAGCGTATTCAGCGACGTTGTCAAGAGCACTGGAAAGTTGCTCGATGAAGATTCCTCGGGGTTTTCCACTAACGCTCTCAGTAGCAGCGGAATACTGCGAAGAACGGCCGGTAGCTCCCCTTCGTCCTCCATACGATCACGAGCGTTTGCATTCACATGGAAAATCGCACTGGACAGCAAGACAGACGACCATTTCGGAATATTACTGTCTTGGGCGCTACATAACGAGACCGAGGTTGGCAAGTAGACTTCTAACGTTGCCATTGCATTGACGATCTTCGGCCAGTATCGCTTGTAAAGCGTACGTAGCGCTTTGGCAGCCGATAAAGCATCCGCTGACGCGTTCACAGGAGCACCAATCGGTGGGAGCGGCATCTGCAAAGCTGGCATAACCATCACTTCATCGGTAAGTAGAGCCTTAGCACTAGCTGTTGTGTCTAGCTCCGCCCATTGCGCACATCCTTGCATTACGACGCCGTAAGCAAACGTCGAATCCATCCAACACTTGAACAAGTACTCCGTGGATTCAGACAGCCCGGTGAGCATTGCCTTGACAAGTGGAGATGTCGCAATCACTCGGCGGTCATCATCACGCGCATCCTTTTGAGCGATCGTCTCCGCGACACTAGACGTTAGTAGTTCTCCCACAGACGCCAAGTTTGCAAGTGACAACGAAGTTCGGGTGAGTTCATCTCCAACAAAATGCGCGTGCCCATAGTCGGTGGTCACAACAGCTCTCAGGATACGTCCCAACCCCACCTTGTCTTGAATAAGGTGAGCCGAGATACAGGCACCAGCAATACCATGCGCTTCGAGAAGTAGTGGGGCGTAGAAATACCGTTCATCACTCTTGTCCAAACTGGGAGTGATAGGCAAAGTGTCCACTTGTACCTGCTTCAAAGCGTGGCGGATAGCGGACGAAAGCTGGGCACGATAAGGATCCAACAAGTATGCGTCCCCCGTTGCCACTTCGGGGTCGCGTGCTGACGCAAAATTCTTCACCAGCACATTCAACAGTCGAAGCCCCACACACTGAAACATGAGAAGCTCGTCACCCTCAGCTGACGTTGTGGCAACATGGCACGCGAGAGTTACAAACTCGTCCAGATACATACACAGGAAGTTCCCGATCTTAGACTCGGTAGATTCTCCAGCAGACAGCACATCGAAGAAGTAACGACGCGCCGCAGCGAGATCAAAGTGAAGCTGCTTAATCAGACTCACGTTTGTCGTCATTGGCGAGATCCCCGTCATCAATTCAAACACACGTAACACACACTCCACTGCGAAATGACGTACTTGTCGAGAAAGCGGAGGCATTAATGCAATGAGGTCGCCCACGCTTGCTTTCGTAGCTCTCCACGTATTCACTTGAGTGGCAATTGCAAGCGAACTCACGTCACTCTTCGATACTTGTACAGGTGACCACGAGGACGTGTCGTCATCATCTCCTTCAAAGCTCGCAGTGATTTGGACACCCGAGTTTGCCCCTTTCGGGCTCATCATGAGCTGCTCCGTATTGGCACTAGTACCTGATTCACCAATGGCAATACTACGACACAGCAGAGCCCAGAGACATGGCTCAGCACTCTCGTGATCTCCACCTTCAACGTCTAATAATGCCAGTGCGGTGCTCTGCAACACACTAATACTGTTTCGATGCATGCTTACCGAATCCACAACAGCAAATGAGAGCACGTCCCACATCCCATGCAGTCCAGGCAGGTAGATCCACGTAAGCTCACTGTACTCGACGTGAAGCGCCGAAAACAGCAGACAAAAGAGGTTATGGCGGCGAATCAACGTCGGGTCTCTTTCCACCAGGGTGCGAATACATGACAAGCCAACATTTTGCAGGATACTTCGACTCCATCCATTGGTGTACACTCCAACGTTAACAAAACCATTCTGCTCAAATGGTTCACCAAAACTCCCAAACGCCGCTAGAGACGGGTTTTGTCCTGATGGCGGCGACAAAGCTGGAGATTCTGAGTTTTGCTGTGCGGTCAGCGACGATGAAGTTACAGAATTCAGCAGAGCGGTATCAGATATGATGCGTAAAATATACCTCAAATCTGCCGACTGAAAGCGGGACGGAGCGAACACGACGACTTGTTCCAGGAACCTCAAGAACTCCAACTCTACACGAGCGTCGCCATCCTGACGCAGAAGCATCCAATACGAATAGAATTCGTTCAACCGATCATTCGATCCACCAAGTTCCGGACCAAGAGTGGCCACCACGTCGTTAATAATCCGTCCCAGTGCAACCTTCGTACTAATTTGCCACCGCAGCCCACGCTTGTTGGCCTTTGAATACACAAAGCCTGCCAGTACATGCGCTTCCATTAGCGAAAACGTCGAGCTCACGAAGTGTTCGTAGTCGCCTCCTGTGGAATTCACAGATTCCAGAATAATGCCCCACGAATGCAAGATCCACGTACGAAGAGGTTGAGAACATTCTCCTGCAAACCGGAAAATGAGGCCTGTGTCAATAGAAATTCGCGAACCACATTCACGCTTGATGCATGCCAACGCAAAAGCGGCACCAGCTGACAGAACAGATACATCGAGGTCAGGATTGGCGCCAAACGTGGCTGTAGAAGCGCCTTGAGGGAGTTTATCCACCACCAAGCGCTTTTCCAGCTCGATAATTAGTCCCTTGCAATGGTCTTCTCCAAGAATCATTCCCAACGCCCCTAGCGCCTCACCAGCGCCACGACGAACTTCCGTGTTCTCACTCGAGATCATTTCACACAGCATGGTTTGCATTTGAAGAGGCCACGACGTCGCAGAAAGCGAATCGGATGAAGTTGGCGCGGTACCAGATTTTTCCAGACGTTTCGCCTCCGCGATCACCGCGAACAACAGCGAGCACACATTGACTTCGCAATCCGCTCGAACGTCGGACAGCGCTCCTGCGTAATGCTGAAGACATCGCAGCTGTAGGTCTTCGGGAATGAAGTGGAAAAGTCGACCAAAGAGAAGCACGCTGACATCCACGAGTCGAACGTAAGTGAACGGACTGTGACTTGCTGGCTTGGTTACATCATCCGCAGCTTCTTTTTCCGCTATCGATCTCCAAAAGGTATCAAGATATTGCACCTCCAGCTCCGTATCAGTCAACGCATTTTCCTGCTGCAGCAAACCCAGAATGTGATTCAGCTCTCGAGAGTATAGCGGCGATGGATAATCGCCTGGCTCCAATCGTGATAAAGTTACCACGTCCAGTGTGTTGTCTTCTGAGGATAACACACTCTTTAGATACGTGGACTTTGCTGGCACTAACGAGGAGTGTCTAAGGCTTGTCAACGCCTGAGCTGTTGTGAATTCGGCGATCAGATCCAACAGCACAATGTACGAGTCACTGTAGATTGGAGGCAGCATCGAGAAACAGTTAATGATCCATCCCATTAGACGGTATCGGGCAATCTGGCCACGGCGCTTGAGCGGGTTGCTGAGAGTGTCCTGTGTTGCCGTCAAGTAGACATGGAGCACGTGACTCGCAAGAATGTACACATCGCTGTCAGAGTATGTAGCCGCGGCCTGGCAGTTGGACAAGAAGCTACTGAGGGGGATTACAGCAGCTTCAATGCGCAGCAGCTCCAGAGATGATTCGCGACTGTGCAGTACGCTAGACTTAAGCCATAAATTCAAGAGTTTCTCCAAATTGGCTTTTATCCAGTGCTCGTCATTTACCGACACCAGGCTTCCGACCAATGCCCAGCCAGCACGCGTGCAAGTGAGCCAGATACTATCCGCACACTCATTGAAGAACTGACTCTCCACAAGTTCCTCCGATATGGCATAGATATCGTCCATAATCGTTTGAGACAAGCCATCTTTACCGTCCAGCTTGATAGCACGAAGAATATGGACAATCGCCGTAGATCTGCCCTGAATCGCATACAAGTGGGCCTTGCTTTGCATATCGCCGCCTTCTTCTTGGCCATCGTCCATCTTCTCAGTGGACTCTGCGTTTCTCGCTTCTTCGCCATCCGAACCTCCTCGCATCAGGTACTCCGCAGTATCGCGAAGGCCCTGAAGACAGTCCGTCAGCACATTTTTAAGTCGGTATGGGATTGCAGTGACAAGAGACGCCAGCGCGACGGCAGCTTGGAAGCGAACACTTTGCTTTTCATGGCAAATAAGCCCTTGGAGTATATCGCTGACATCTCGTGCGTGGGTTACGGAAGCTTCACCCATGGAATGGAACATGTGACTCATCTCCACTAGCGTTGTAAGCAACTTGTGGTGGTTGAGCTCGGCTGCTTGAGTCTCATCTTTTAGCTTCTGTAGATAAGCGCCTAGCAACACTTCTTGTTGGCGTTCTGTGAGACATCCATTGAGTCCACAACGCAGCACAAAGCCCACGGCATTGCGAGCACGAGTCAAGTCACCAAGAGCAAATGGATAGTCAAGAACAGCAAGTGTAGCATCCAAAACCTCGCGAATCTGGGCCTCGGGGATTGAATCAGGCGGTAGATGCTCGAACATACTGCACAGAGCGATGGAAAACGAGGCCAGAATGCCTCCGTGACTCAGGTTCGGATTCGTCGACAGATATTTGCTAGTCACCATGTCTTTGAAGTACAGAACAACGTTTGCGATGGTCGAGAAATCCACTGTAGCAGCTTTTCGACGAGAGAGTGAAGACGGCAGATTAATACCAGGGACGTGCAGCTTGAAGCCTGTCTTGGACTTCCCAGTCCCACTTCCACTAGAGGGAGGTGTATCGTGTTCAATTGAGTTTCTCCCACCATCGTCATCAGTGTTCCTGGAGGAAGATGCACCCGCTCCATTGCTCTCACCACCTGCTTGCACTTCTGCTTCTCCAGAAGACGTCGCGTATTTGGCAAGCACTACACCGACCACCACAGAGTACGCCCTCCTCGCTTCGGGAGCAACATCATCCATTCCTTTCGCCGTGATCTGTAAGATTGCATCAAGCGAAACACCACTAGCACTCGCACTGCCACCTGCACTAGCTCCAGTCATAGAGCCACCAGCACCGCCAGATCCACTAGCATTGCTACTGCCTCCCTGATTTGCTAAGGAACCAGCCCCAGTATTCGTGGTTGAGACTGATGTACGCTCTGTCACCACCTGTAGCAGCCTCGCAGCAGCGGTCCTCACTTCCACCGCCTTGTCCTGAAGGCTCTTGTTCACGATCTTTAAAGCTTCTGCATGGAACGACACCAGTCTCGTGGAGTTTCCCTCCAGAGCATGAGCGACACTCTCAATTAGACATTGCTTCATATAATAATCAGCACTTCGAATGTTCTTATTGGCTAGAGCTACTGCATCTGGCAGGAACTGCTGTAGTGGCAGACGACACACCACCATAACCAGAGACACCTTGACGAAAAGCGACGTACTTTTAGCCAGTAGCGTATCATTGATGCTCGGTACCACGGAGAAGTCGAAAGAGCGCACCAGGAGATCGCATACCAGGCGATGGATGCACTCGGATGTTGGGGTGCTGGATGACGACAGCGACACACCTGCACTGCCTCCCGCTATACCCGCATTGGAGTTTCCCGCATGACCGCCACTGTACACGATGAGCGTGGCTAGCAGTAGTTGGAATAGCGCTGCGTTACTCTTGCCGCTTCGCTTCGTGGGCGGTGTGGGGTTTGTGAGAAGCTCTGGCTTCCAAAGACGCTGTAGAACGATTAGCGCTTGCACCAACTCCTTCTGCTGCGCCTGTTGCTCTGCGACAGAGCCTCCACCGGCACGGATTGCCTCCACCGCGGCTGCCAGACGCCGCGCCGCGCCCTTCATCTTGGCTCCTCACTTGCAAAGTGACGCGTGTGTGTAAATGAGGGTGTCATTACGTGTTTTTGACCAATTAAATGAAAAAAATGACGATCGACACAACCCTGAAGTTCGAGAAACGAAGATGATGCAGACAGCGACGCGCTCATGGGAGGAACTGCGCAGCAGCGCGCGGGCGGCAGAGCGCACACTGGAGGACAAGATCGCAGCCTACACGTCTATTAGTAGAGCACAGACGCGTAGCTCTGCTGCGGTGTATGACGAAGGTGTGGATGGAGAGGAAAAAGAAGAATAGCGAACACGGTGACAGTGCTGAGAATCTAATGCAGCTTGTGTGTGGTGTTTTCGGCGCAGAGAACCCACCAGAGGAAGCTGCAGATGAGATAGAACTCGCAGTGGATATCGAGAATGCTCTGGCGTCGGTAGGTGAAAAATACCGAGATGCTAGAAGCAGAGAGGAAGACTGGAAAAGTTTGGGTCTTTTGGTCTGACGGCGGCTCTATTTCTAACGTGCAGCTATCAGATGCAATCGACGAGATGAATGTGGTTGTGAACAAGACGTCGGTAAAAACGCAGGACGCCATGTTGCAGCGCTACCGAGAGCTCTACTTCGACTTTAACACAGAGTTCCGTCGCTCAATGGTAAGATAGATGCACCGGCATCTGTGACGGTGTATACTGCACGGCTTGATTCCCCGTGTACGGATCCTCTAACTGCGTTGCGTGTGCATCAATGTACGCATATCTACTCCACAGAGTGCCTTACAGGAGAAGCGTGATGCACAGAAGCTTTTTGGCAACAGGTGCGTGCCGCACTTAGCGCTATGTGGCCCCAATTATGGCGAGCTATTGCTACATTGAGATGTCTAATTACGTGGATACCTTGTGATTGCAACTGCAGAGCACACAATGGCCATTCGGAAGACGCTGAAATGGACTCGCTGCTAAACGAGCGCCGCGCTGTGGACTCGTCACGCTCCATGACCAGCAGCATTATTGAGCAGGCAATGGCGACCAAGAACGCGCTGGAAAACCAGCGTCGGCAGTTTACGTCGTCCCACGGCAAGGTTGCGACGCTTGGCAGCTCGTTCACCGGCATCAACACGCTCGTGGAGCAGATTCGCCGCAAGAAGATGCGCAACAACACGATTCTTGCTCTGGTGATCGCCGGTTGCATCTGCTTCACGCTGTGGTGGGCCGTGCTGTCTAAAATCTAATGCTATTGTCGAGTAGGAGGAGCAGGCCACCTCACACGTCACATTTTGCACCAGAAATTGAAGTGCAGTTATTGTCAAATTAAAAACCTGGAAAATGCGAGATTACGACTCTGATTGGTCATAACAGCGCATACGATTTGCTAGTACGAATGGTTGGCCTCCCAACATAGGCGCCATACTTGAAAACGCCCGAGCCAAAGAGGCAAACAGCAACTGTTCAAAGCGTCACTAAACCTGACAAACATGGGTGACCGTGGAGGAATTTCGCTGCTGGTGCGCAACATCAGCCGCCGACTCAGGTAAGCACACATCTCCACGGCATTTTGAGCTGCTTCGCGCAGCTTAAAGAGCCGAATTGGCCTAATACATGGACTAATTGCTGCTATGGCGCGATCTATAGACCCGAGGACATCCGCAAGGAGTTCGAGCGCTATGGCGAGGTTCGCGATGTCTACATCCCCAAGGATTTCTACACCAAGTACGTGCATCCACTATAGTCTGCTGGATCATTGCAGCGTAAGTTGAGCACGTCTGACACGTTGCTTTGTGTGCAATTGCAACAGAGAGCCCAAGGGCTTTGCATTCGTCGAGTTCCGCAGCGAGCGCGAGGCAGAGGACGCTCGCCGTAACCTGGATGGTGTACGCATTGATGGCCGCGACATCCGCGTTGTATTCGCTCAGGAGCGTCGCAAGTCGACGGACCAAATGCGCGAGCGTGAAAGGTGCGTGCAATCTCAAAGTTGATGTATACATAGTCAACAGCTTCTTATAGAAGAGAATGGATGTTGATGCAGGACCGAGAAACGCGGAGGAGGCCGCCGCTCGCGCTCAAGATCCCCACGCCGCCGTGCGCCGCGTGGCCGATCTCGTTCGCGCTCCCGTGACCGTCGGGCTCCGGCTCGTCGCTCGTCACGTTCGCGCTCTCCTGTGAAGGCTCGATCCCGTTCTCGTTCTCGCTCAGGCTCTCGCGGCCACTCGCCTGCGCGTCGGTCTGGGTCTCCGGCTCGGCGCTCGGTCTCCCGGTCGCCGCGTGCACCGGCGTCGCCTCGTCGGTCTGGGTCTCCTCGCCGCTCTACATCGCCGGCTGCTCGGTCGCCCTCACCTCGTCGCGCTAACGACCGCTCGTACTCGTCGTCTCCCCGACGAGATGAAGGCCGCCGCTCGCCTTCGGGGTCTCCTCGTCGCTCGAGTGGCCGGGATTAAGCCCCTACGATCATTATCGGCGTGTAGCAGCTCTCGAAGCCCAGTTATCCAACCGGTTACCACTGACGACCCAAGCTACCGACATCAACAACTGCATGGAAACTGCACGGCATCTCGCTTCGACTTCCTCCTGTCTGCTTCGCGATTGTTTGCTGCTCGCTCGTGTTGCTCTCTACCAGATTTAGTACTTCTACTTACACAGATGCAAGACAGGCAATAACAAGAGCAAAAGTCTGAAGATGGTGAAGACTCAAGCACAAAGATACAAAGGGAAAATAAAAACAAAAGAAGACTGGCAACTACTTGTCCAAGAGGAAGAACGAGGAAGATTTTATGCAAGCAAGCTAAGACCTCCCAGCCAGATAGACTTCGTTACATCGGTCGGGGTTACTTGACTATCAGTGTCAGCTGTCAGGAGCGGTGCAGATCCTAAAGTCGTGTCCTGTGCAGTGGTGTTGCTTCGTTGTTGGTGACCAAGCTAGCAGGTCGTCTCATCCAGTCTCAAATCACTTGCATTGTACTACGTCGTAGTACTTGTACAAGAGATAATGCGTAACAGGTGGTTCGTGAGGATATTGACGTCAAGCGCAAAACAGGTGAGCCGGGAGACAGTCTAAACAACAACAAACGGAGATCTTGAACAATTTAATCTGCTTTCGACCAGCTAAAAACAACAAATTATGAAGAGAACGAAAATCAGATTCTATTGGTCAACTCTAAGTACGACCGATTTGGTTACCGGTACTTCACATCGGACCAAGGAGACTTGCGTGCGTCAGCAGAATGAAGAAGAGATCAGTGGTGTTCGTCCTTATCGACGGTCTGGCCGATGTGTCGCTGCTAGAGCTAGATCAGAAGACGCCACTAAAGGCGGCACATACTCCTGCCATGGATGCTATCGCCCGTAGGTCTAATTGCTTCCGCGTTTTTGCGAGTATCTGTTTCTGATATCTAAGCTGCTCTCTACATGTAGATGGAGGTCTAACAGGCCTCATGGACCCCGTGGAGCCTGGTTACGCTTGTGGAAGCGACACAGCCCACATGTCCATCCTAGGTTACAATCCCATCGTGTACGTGCCCTGTAGACGAAGCTCTGGCGTCGTATGGTGCATAACTGTGTGCTTGCGAATCGAAATACTACACGTAGTCACTACCGTGGACGTGGATCCTTTGAAGCGATGGGCGCTGGACTGCCGATGAGCAAGGGTGACGTCGCGTTCAAGTGTAATTTCGCCACTGTGGAGGAGAATGAAGACGGTCAATTGATCGTTGAAAGGCGACGTGTGGACCGCAACTTCCCCGCTTGGGGGATTGATCTCTGCAGCTTCTTGAACGGTCTGACCCTCCCCGAGTTCCCAGGCCTTGTAGTGGCTACAAAATACGCCACGGAACACCGTTGCGGAATTGTTTTTAAAGGGCCCGGACTAAGTGACAAAATAGCGGGCACCGACCCGCTGAAGGACCAGTACGTACTCCACGGATCTTTGTACAATCGAACTGAACTAACACATAATTGCTGTCGGCATGTAGCTTGCCTCTGGTCAAGTCAGAGCCACTGAACGACACGCCGGAGGCTGCTTACTCGAGCAAGGTGCTGAACGCAGTATCCAATGCCATTCACGAACGACTGGCGAATCACCCGATCAATAAGACTCGTGAGGCAGAGGGCAAGCCACCTGCAAATGTGGTTCTTCTCCGTGGCCCTGGTGAACGAATTGATGTCCCAACGTTCACTGAGATGCATGGGTTGACTCCTTTCATGATCGCCCCGACTTGCATCATCGCTGGTCTGGGCATGTCGTTGGGCTTTGAGATCGTGTCTGCTCCTGGTGCCACAGGAGACTACCACACAAATCTGCGTTCAAAGGCTGATACGGCGCTGGAAGTGTTGCTAGATGGCGAGTTCGACTTTGGCTTTGTTCACGTCAAGGCAGTGGACGATGCCGGTCACGACCGCGACGTAGCGAAGAAAGTGCACTTTACTGAACGCGCAGACGAGATGATCTCTCTGCTGTTGGAAGGTATTCACGCTGACTGTGGCGAGGAGGCCAACGAGGTGACCATCGTCGTCACTGGAGACCACACGACACCTGTCAAGTATGGAGATCACACGTTTGAGCCAGTGCCGTTCGCTATTGCACGTGCTGGTGTTGCGTACGAGAGGTTGCAGCACTTTAAAACTGCTGGTAAGCAGGAAAATGCTTCCACTGGTCCATTGACGGACGAGGTGACGCAATTCTCTGAACTGGCTGTGGCACGCGGTGCACTTGGTCGTTTTGCTGGTGACCAGGTGATGAAGCTCGTCAAGGGGTTCCGTGAATACGAAATATAGGTTGCACGTGAGCAGTACAGTGCAAACGCGAGGTGGACTTTGTAGGATCATGAGAATAAGTAAACCAAAAATCGTTGTTGAACTCGTCTGTTGACTTGAAATTTGTCGCTTTAGCCGCAGTGTTCGAGCAAAAACCTACACTTTAGACATGTTCAGTGAAACATTTGAGCCGTAAGACCCGAGATAAGAGCCAATATGTCCTCGATTTCGTGGTCAGTGAAGTGCTTCGGCAGACTCGGAATCAGAGCTATGGCCTCTTCCACTTCACAAGTTGGACGAACTTGCGATCTCAAACTCTTCCAGCCGATGAACCTCATCGTCATGCTCAAACGAATGTGACTGGAGAGCACTGTAGGGGTGACGTCCACACAAGATAAGACACCCATTCGCACGTTTGGTGTACATATAAACTTCACTTACTCACGGATCTCGATCACAGCAGCTTGGTTGGCAACTGGGTCTTTTGTTCCGGTGAAGCGTGTCACGTAGGACTGCGTCTTCTTAAACACACTGCAGCAATTGTGAGACCGACGAGTACTGAGCACGTAATTATCAAAACTAAGGACCATACCCAGTAAACATCTTCTTCTGCTCGTTGTAGTTGCCCTGCTGCTTTTCCAAGATTATCGCCACCTCGGCGTTGGACAGACAGGTGTCGTTCTCAAATTCTTCGCCCAAATTCAGTTCTGCAGCGTCTTTCGACTCCATTAAAGGTTGCAGAGAAAACGCCATTCCAGCTTCACTTTCGTGCTTTTCTTCACTTTTCGCCTTTGGTTGGCTCGCAACGTCCCACCTCAGTGCTTGAAGTCGTTAAGTGTTATTGCTCTAGCTGGGTATCAACGGGATGATGGAAGTTCCTTAACACCTCCAGCTCACGCGGTAGTGGTTGCTTAGCTGCTCGTAGCACTTGCTTCAACTCCATTGCAATCGCACACTCGCGCGTCAGGAAAGATGTGGCTTTTCCGGAGACGTCAAGGTCTCCCAAGCCACCCCCAGGATGTCTTCCTGTACGACCGCAGCGATGCACATAGTCTTCAATAGTATGTGGTATATCGAACAGTATAACATGCTCGACACCCGGGAGGTCAAGTCCGCGCGAAGCCAGATCTGTTGCCACAAGAACGTCAACATAACCCGCACGAAACGCGCGTAGTGCTCGAGTGCGATATCCTTGAGACTGCCCGCCATGCAACGGTGCTACGTGGAATTGCTCGTTGCGTAGTAGACGAGCGACGCGCTCGACACTTGAACGTGAATTGCAGAATACCAAAACTGGCGGTTGTTTGGTCGCGCGTAACACACGCAGTAAACGAGAAGGTTTTTCCGCCGGGCGCACGAATTGTACGTCATGAACCACATTTGAGGTCGTCGAGAGGGCAAGTATAGTCATTGGAGCAGAGCTAGTGGTTTGATGCGACAGCACTGATGGAGCTTGAAACGGCATGTTGGCCTCATCAACGCGAATCGTGACAGGCCGGAGCACTGCTGATCTTGCCAACCGTGGCAAGAAGACAGGAAGCGTAGCGGACAGCAATAACGTCTGCCGACCGACAGCATTTGTGAACTGTAGGATCTCACGCAGCTGCGTTTCCATCTCTGGGGCATCCAGTACGCGGTCAACCTCATCGACAACAAGGAGGGAGATTTGTCCAAGTGACAATGTCGCGCCATAACTCTGGACCAGATGCAAAAGCCTTCCTGGCGTTGCCACTATGGCGACTGAATTATTTGCATGTTGCCGCAGCTCTGCGAGTTGATCATCCACTGCAATGCCGCCGCAGATTCCAACAACAGGTGGGTTTGGCGAGCTCGGAAAGAATGCCACGAGATCCTGCACTACCTGATCGACAAGTTCTCGCGTCGGTACCATGACCAACGCACAAGGAGAAGTCGGTATTGTGTGCATTACAGGGTAGTGCTCGAACACAGATCCTGATTGACTAGGCAATCGCTGCAGTAGTCCAACGATGGGAAGGATGTAGCATAGCGTTTTTCCGCTGCCAGTAGGGGCCAAAGCGATGATATCGCGGCCTTGGAAGACGCACGGAAGGGCCTGAGACTGTATCGCGGACGGGTTGGTGACACCACGCGATTGCAAAACGGAAATGGCGTCGGAAGGCAGCGAAAAGTCTGAGAAAGTGTGAGTTGGAGGTGGAATTGGGTCCTCTCCGTCGACTACGATTCCTCGCTCTTGGCGCTGCCATGATACTTCCTGCGTTGTAGACGAATCGTAGGTAGAGATATCTTTAAGTTGGTGATCTTCTGTGGTTGTGGAAACTGCTGGAGGCTCCGTACGACGCCGTTTGCGCCGCGGAAAATAGGCACCATCAACCATCGTTGGAGCATCACAAAATGGCGGCGGGCAAGTTTTTTTTACGAATATGTGACGTGTGAGATAGCGTGTTAAGTTGAAATCTTGTCAATTACCCGTTACAGGTTGCATGGCGTTTGAATGCCGCTGTGCAACTTAACCGAACATTCGAGCAGCCGTACGAGACACGATTCCCAGGATCTCTTCGATCTCATCTTCAGCAAAACGCTTGTGCAGACTGGGGATGAGAGCCACAGCTTCTTCCACCTCTTCGGGGTTCAGATTGGACAGACAAGCAATCTCGAACTCCTCGAGTCGGTACTCAACCGTCTCGCCGTCTGCTTCACGCTGAAACGCTAACGACATAAGTGCTCTGTACCGCAAAATCAAAGCAATAAATATCCCGAGAAACCTGCAGCGACCAAACAGATGACCTACTCGCGGAGCTCGGTAACCGAAGCTTGGTTGGCCACAGGGTCCTTAGTGCCACTGAAGCGCTGTACATACGAGTATGTCTTCTGGAACACACTGTGATGGTAGGACAAAAAGCAATAATTAAAGCTTTAATCAGCCACAACAAGGGGTAATAGCTGTATCAATCGGAAAAACGTCAGTGTGACGCACTTGGTAAGCTGCTTCTCCTGCGTCTCGTAGTCGGACTTCTGCTTCTCAAGGATAACAGCCACCTCGGCGTTAGACAGACATGTCTCGTTGCGGAAGTCGTCGCCTAGATTGAGCTCAGCCGCGTCCTCCGTGTCCACCACGTGCTGCGGGTTTGACGACATTGCTGTTTCTAACAATGATCGATTTCAATTGCACACCACCTACACACTAACCTCTTTCGTACCTAAACGGAACAACAACTTTAACATCCACACTTTTTGACACTTCACCATGTTGGGCAGCACCTGGACGCTGAAGACCGTCGCTGCTGCCTCACAGCGTGCGTTCTCGGCCAAAGCGGGCGTCGGTGGTATCGCTGGTCCAAAGATCACAGGTGTACTGCGCTTCTACAATGACGTGGGTGTCAAAGACGTGGAGGAGTCGGTGGATGAGACCGGCGGAGAGCCGCGTAAGCTCTACGCTGTGACACTGGATGGCAAGACGGTGAAGACACCGCGTCAGCAACCCGTGCGGCTTCCTACACGCGCTATGGCTTACGCGGTAGCTCACGAATGGGATGCACAAAGTCATGACATCCGCCCGGCTACTATGCCCATCATGACGCTCGCGTCCACGGCGTTGGATCTAGTGTTCACGTCCAGCAGTCAGGAGACCATCGACGAAATGATGCACTATTTGCATACGGACACGGTGTGCTACCAGGTGACAGCCGACCAGCAGGAGAAGCTCGTGGCGCTGCAGCAGAAGAAGTGGAAACCCATCCGCAAATGGTTCAGCGATTTGTTCAAGGGCGAAGTGGACGTGAGCCACGGCAGCATTGACCCACTTGCGCACGACCAGCAGCTTGTGGCTAATGTGCGCGCTCATCTGGAAAAGGTATGTGCTTGTTGGTGGGAAAAAAGTTGAACGGTAGCTAACGATGCTTTTGCTATTGTGGTAGCTGAATGACTTTGAGCTGACGGCCATGCGAACGTTGACGAAGGAGTGCAAGGTTCGATTTGGTCTCTGTGGCGCGCTATGTATCTATTGTTACTAAGAGTTTCAATTATTGGTTTATTGACACAGTCTTTGATCACTGCGCTTGCGGTCTTCAAGCGCCACATAACGGCAAAGGAGGCCATAGACATCTGCCGCTTGGAGGAAGAGTTCCAGATCAACAACTGGGGGCTTGTGGAGGGTGGCCATGATCTCGACCGCGTCAACTGCGCCGTAAAACTTTCGAGTGCGTCTTTCCTGCTCTATCTGCTGGAAAACAAGCACTAAACGCTTCAGGAGCAAGCCAGCGAGCTGTAAGGTTCTAAACGTAATCCATTCGGCGGTTTTTGACTTTGAAGTGCATCGATACAGCGCAACGGTATCGTTTCGTGGTTCTATCCAATAGAAACCTAGCTACGGAATCCGTGACGGCAGCAGTGAACGTCAGAATAATGGTATCATTCATATCGCAGTAATACTGCAATCGGTCCAAAACCTTGACAGCAGCCTGTGTGGCGTCGCTTTCCGACCAAGAGTCAGCTTTTCGCTCCACTAGCATTGCGCAAATCAAGTGAGGTGATGACACGGAAGTTGGAGAGGCTATCAACGACGACCGCGCATCCATCTGCAGCTTCCGTCAAATGTCCGACCTTGAAATGTTGCCTCTTACATGTAGCACGAAAACGCTTGTTTCGGTCTGATTCGAAGAGTTTTCTAGAGCAAAACCTTGAGAGCTGGACATCAATGTTGATTGCTGGTGCGGCAGTCGCACTTAAATATGACGCTAGGATGGTGGAGCCATCAGGTATTGTATCAGCAAAATTATTCCCAGACCCATCGTCGCAATGTCAACTCGGCATTGATACCTGTTCACGAATTGAGTTCTACAGTACTTACGTAGAATGACAAGACCTGTCGCTCGAATTGAAGAATGAAAATGAGCAATGAGCACCTCCATACGCACGAGGAAGAGGAGAAAGGTCCGCTATCGACATGAAACGCCGGCCAGTTAAGCCACTCAGCGGAAGCATTAAAGTCGTACGCAGCTCAACCCCTTTTACGTCAGCAAAAATAATATGGCGAGCATCAAACATTTGTCAGCAGAAATTCGAGCTGAGATTCGTCACTTTGACGAAGGTACAACTTGTACAAACGATTTCTTTGCCCCTTAGTTAAGAAGAATCGGGAATTTAAAAACTACAATCATACTGGGTGAGCGGAGAGCACGTACGGTAGACTGGAAGGATCCTGCTTGTCCTCCTCCTTTGGAGTTTCTGCTGTCTCGTTTTTTTTGGCAGACTCCTTCTTGTGTCTTCGTAAAAGGTAGACTAACCCAGCACATCCAAGCACGAAGACGCACGCGCCAACTGGAACGATGAATCGAAGATCGCGCTTCCAGTCCGAATCCTTGTGGTCACTCTCTTCGTTTGACACATGAGGGGTTTTGGGACCGAAAAAGGGAGCACACACTTCTCCTCTGAAAAGGCTGATCACCGGGGCTACCGCGTCTGTTTGAACGGGCATTGCTTTAGCCGACTCGTCTCGAGGGCAAAGACCATCCGCTAGACGGACGAATAAACGGTCAGCGGCTTCAGGAATCTTTGAGCTCTCCACTTTGTGCATCATGAACGGCGACACGGCTTCATTGACGGCAATTTCCCCCTCTAAATAGCGCACCACATTATCCGAGACTGGGCCGTTGAAAGCTAGAGCGACGGTATCGTTCTCCTTACATTTATTGTCCAGACGATCCATAACGTCGACAGCGGACAGAACCGCCTTGTTATCCTTCCACGAGCTATTCCACTCCGCCACCATGGCGCACATCGACATGGACGAAGCATTAGCATTGACGACCTGGAATCGTGCCCAGTACGACGAGAACTTGCCACCCTGCGTGCCGTATTCCAGTAGAGACCAGCTCGCTGTCTGGTACAGTATTTTGTTGTCGGCTGCGGCAGCATATCCATCAGCGGCGTCAATCCAGGCGTCTGAAATCGAATCGTTGGCTACCAGCACCACATCGAGCCGCTCTCCAAAGTCTTCAATCACTGAGGACGACGAGTTAGTTTGCTCTCCGTCGCCAGATAAGCAGACGACGCTCGCAATGTTGATCATGTACCATGGATTGTAATAATCAGGTCCCGCGGTGGTGCAGTGAAGTGTGGCTGCTAGCGCCAGCAGCAACAGCGACACAAAGCTCATTGCGCTGAGTGGCCCAGCGCTTCCTGGTTTCGATGAGGAAGCTGAAATGGGGAGAAGAGTGGCCAGATGGGGGTGCATGGACGCATTGCAAACGGGCTCTTTTCAACGGTCCCACCTGTCTGAAATGCAGGTTCGAACAGCAAACAGGTTTCGAGAAAACCTGCAAACTTTCGAAACCCGAGCGACTTTATCTGAACAGGAAGTTTAAATGGAATGAGTTACGTTGAGAAGAAGTTTATTGGCATCTTGATCAGAGCGATAGAGCTTTACAAGCCCGTGAAAGTGCTACGGCGACAACGAGTACAGTAAATGTTTTCTTAGAGACCCTTAACTAAAGGGTCTCTAAAGCTTTAGGCTCAGTCCACAGTCCGCTTCATGGACCATGAATCATGGTACTTCAACCTGCAGGCGCCGTAAATGTTGTTCACCCGACTGCCCTATTTGCATGATCCCACCCAGCGTTCTAAATTAAAGCTTTTCAGCTTGGTCGGTTAAAGTCTGCTTCCGCCCTTGTTGACCACTGGTCAATGGCCAGGTGTCTGCCAGAGCTGATCCTCGCAAGTACCTTTAAGCAGGGAGCCCGAAAATATAATTTATATCAATTTCAAAGGACATCGAGAAATACATAACGCGCGGAACCTAAGAACTCAGCAAATAAATAATTGGAGCAGGTGGACTCGATCATCACTCTAGGATCCGCGACAGCGACAGCCAGAGAGCTGGCACCAAGCGCCAATGCAATAACAGCGTTCATCGTTTACCAACCCGAGTGCGTGCACGAAGAAAGGAGGAACCAATATGCCAATTGAGCACTGGATGGACCAACGAACGACATCCCATCGCAAAACATTTTCTTGCTGTTCGCTCCATGTAGCGTTGGTAACTTACCAATGGTATTAATAACTTATTAATACCATTGGTAAGTTACTAATAAGGGCAAGCCACAGTGGCTGCCACTGTCTTTGCGGGGACATTGCAAACGTAAATTATTAGTGAAATAAACTACCGAGCCTGGGTGAAGCCGCCTAAATGCAAGCATCCACGGTGGTGAAAGAAGAGAGTAGGTTTTGTTGGGGTGTTCCTGAAGTTGCAGAATATGCGATTCGGAGAAGTCGAACCAACCACAAACTGTAGGTAGGGAAAATAAAAGTTGGGTCGTCGTACACCAACTTCGAAAATACATATTTTGCTGAAGCATTTTTCGTAAATAAATTATTGATAGAAACAATAACCAGTAATTGGCAATAAATATATTTATCGGGTTCCCTGCCTTTAAGTGCCAGCAACTATCGACTTCGTTCAATCCTCCGGCGATTGAAGCTCCTTAGGCCTTTACAGGAAGTCGTGCGGCACGACTCGTGCCTACCCTGGCAAATAATCTGCAATCGAAGTTGCGACTGCGTCAGGCTTACCATGCACGCCGCGTAGCTTAAGCAACGACAAGTCTCGAAGTCCTCAGCGAAATATAAGCTGTCCTAAGTAAAGATCTTCGATTGATTTAAAGTATGAAGTTTGATCTTTAGCGCATGATTGACCAGCAAGCTTATCGGTAGAATTTGGAGCGAGCTTCAAAGAGTTCCGCCAGGAACGCTTGGACATCAGCAGGACGTTCTCGAATAGTATTGTTGGTCGCTAGTATCATTAAATGACGGACCTTGCGGTCGAAGTAAACCTGTCGCTTTAGCTCCTACACGAGACAACATGAGAACCTTTTCAAATGGTGCGGAGCCCCCCCACGTACCATGTAGTTGTACTTCTTGAGATTAAGGGTTCCTCGCACTGCATTAGCGAGGAAGTCGGCTGTCTGATCTGGTTGGTACAACAGCACCTCTTCCAGTACCTTGGTCAGGATCGGATCTACTTTGGTGGTCATGTACTGGTAGACCTCGTCAAGAGCGGTAATGAGGTGGGGGTCATGCATACGATAGCGCTCTTGCTCTACAATCATCAGACCTTCCTTTTAGCTGATGATGACAGCCCAAACGCTGACGCTTACCATCACGAATTAGTGCCGAGATAGCAACACCCTTGTTGCGAGCCTTCTGGGATTGCTGGTCCATTGCTCGTCGATGAAAAACGGCGATGTCCAGGACACCTGATTTGCCCCAAAGCAATGAAGAAGAGTGACAACAAGAGCGATCCGACGCCCAACAGCTCGTATTTTTAGGCAAATTGCGGTGGGTATTCATCTTTGGGTCGTAAACGAGTTACTTCAACTTATCTCCACACACAACTTGTCTTATCGTTCCCTCAGCAGCTACATGCCTGAATTTGACCTCATCCTGCTCCTTTCTCCACAACAAGCGGCATCGCGCGCGGGGGTCTACCTGTTCAACCAGCATCTACAAGCTGCTACTGCTGGTGCTACTGCACGTCCTGATTAACCTAATGATCTACCTCGCCCTTATCGTCGTTGGTCCTGCTGTTACGGTGATGGCTGTTGTCATTGCTGTCGGACTTGTGGAAGGAACGCTTGTTGTCACGGCTCCAAGAAGATCGCTGGTGGCCTGAAGACTTGTCTCCACGGGAGTAACGCGAGCCCGAGGACGTACGATCGCCGCCAGAAGAGCCCTCACGGCTAGTGCCATCATTCTTTTCCGAGCGCCACAGAGTCGTGTTGCGGAAACTAGAGTTGTCGTTCAGCGACGTGTCGTGGCGCTTGTACTCCAATGCCACAAACTGCGGTAGGTTGAGCACTTTCCGCATCGTATCACTATTTAAAATGAAGTAATACAAGTACTTAGTAAGCTCTATTGACAGATTTCCCATCCCTTGTCTTACCGAATACGGTAGCACGCTTCATTGTTGTCAGCATTGCGGTTCCAGAGCGAGATGATGTCCTCGTTGTACCGGATCGAAATGACAGCGCCACAGATCTCGTTACCCACGTCGAACTGCTCACCAATGATCGCTAGCACCTGTCCATTAGACCTGTCAGACCTTTTCCCATGGTATTATAGCTCCTTCCGTCTCAAACCACGCACCAGATCTTCCCAGTAACGCGAGGCAATGCCCTTGCGAAGGCGTACCATCCACTTGCCTCCTCTTCGGTTGGCCGAGTCTTCCCACATAGGCTTGATGCCCGTCTTGAAGAGGTGGTAGTCCATGGTGTTCGGCAGGTCATTTGGCCGCACCAAGTGGTTGTATATTTTCCAAAAGTCCTGGACCTGTAACCAATATAATCATTATTCAGTTCACAATTATCACTTCATTATCCAACTCAAAAGCCACCAAACTCCCTACCGTCTTGAAGTCACCGAGCCCCTTGATGCTTTTCTCATAGCTCTCCTGCAAGTGACCAACCATTACAACATCATCAGTTCAACAAGCACAATTATTGCAACAATTATAAAATGTCTTACACTGACGGCCTTGTTGCCGGTGCTGCGCTTGATGTACCAGAAGGTGTACATATTTTGGATAGGTGTCTCCGTCGTTCCCTTCTCCGCGACCTTGCCCTCGCCCTCGCCTGTTAATTTGCAAATGCAACAATAGCATTTTTAGAGTTAAACGGGTCTGAAGTGTGTACGTGTCACCTTGTTAGCTATTGCCGAGCCCAGAAGCCGCGTAAGGCATCAATTAAATGCTCATATTGCAGCTAGGATGAAGCTTTACATGACAGATGACATACCGTTGTTCTTGTCCTCCCCCATGATCTTAGGCCAGCGTCTTCTTGTGTTCGACTTGGTGGCTTGGGGATAGCTTTTTCTGACACTTTTTATAATAGTCTTGTGGTGCCGCATTAAATTCGTACTTAGTAGTGCTCAACTACGGTACTTTTGTATTTCGTACAATTCAATTTGCGAGCGGCGTCATGGATTCCGACTCGGACGGCGAATTTGAACGGTGTGTTTAGCTCAGTATCCCCATTGGTTGCTAGATCAATTTACCCCACCAAGTTTGCCAGCGCCTTAGCGATATGATCATGGTTGAATGGCCTCCTGGCATGCAGTACTGACTTTGTTTTACATTGAACCAGGTTTCTGCAGGAGGACGAAGACTCGCTGTCTCCTGAGCCTGCGAAGCGCAGATCGCAGCCTGGCGGGGCATATACGACGTCGAAAGCTTCAGCAGTGACGGCAGCTGCAGCTGCGCTACTGGCGTCGTCAAAACTGAGCAAAAGTCACAAAAGTAAGAGTAAAGGTAAGAGCAAGAGCTCTGACAAGAAGAAAAGTGGGAAGAAATCGTCCAAGACACAATTTTCGGACTCCGAAGAGCCCCCTCCGAGCTACTACGATGACTACTCGACGGGGCGAGGTGGCGAGCTAGAGGATACAGAGTACGTTATGTCACGGTTGAAGTTTGTGACCTGCTGACTGACTGTAGACAACCGCAGTGTCGATCCGTATCAGTTTGATATGAACTCGCCTGCGTTCCCGACGTCTTTGAAGAAAGAGGACATCTCGGATGATGAATATCAATCGAAGACGGAGAAAAAGAAAAAGAAGGAGGAGCTGAAGACGCTGGCGAAGAAGGTGATGACTAAGAGCGCACCGATATCGATGGAAGATCGCATCACAGAGATCTTGAAACGCACAGGAAGTACGCAGTTTCAACCAGACGAGAAAATCGACGAAGATGAAGTCAGCGATAGGGTATGCATTTGAACCTGGAGCGTTTATGTTGTGTATGCATGGTCTAACTTTCAGCGATACAGGAAAGCGACAAGAAGGCGCCATCTTCAAGTAATGGAGAAGAAGCGGCAAGTCTACAACACGAAGACCAGACTGGCGATAAGAATGACAACAGATTCAGCGACAGTGATGCGGGGCGTTCCAGCTTATCGGACTCATTGGGAGTCGTATCTGCAGATTTCGAGGTAAGTATTATGTATATAGCTGTTTGAAGCTTTATCTGCTCTGTTCAAATCACTCAGAATGGCTTATGCGTGTAATTCAGGTCCATCTCCCACCAAAGCCAAGCGTCGATCGAACTCGACTCTCTCTTGTGCGTTGACCTCTTTGAAAAGAGTTGTGATACTTACTAAAAATCCAATTATCCTCGCTTCTCACTCCAGTCAAGTGATGGCAGTGACAATTTTGCTGTCAATAGAGACGCACTCAATAGCGAACGGGGTAAGCCAGTTTATCAAGGAGGCATGTTCACATCGGACACTTATAACTTGGGTTGTGTACAGCAACGCCACCGCGCTACGAGCAGCAACAAATGACCTTTTCAAAGTCCGAACTAGACGTCGATAGCATAGCAGAGAGAAAAGAAGCTCCAGAGCCGGACTTCTACCTGTCGGAAGTCGCTGAGCAACAGCCATTAGATGCCAGCGATACGTTCGGCTATGCAAAGGATGATTTTGAGGTGTTCCTGCGCACTATTTGCTGTCTTCTGGAAGCGAGAGGTGTTAATTCAGTCCGTTTTTTCAACTGTAGGAAACCGAGATATCGAGGCAAGAATTTGTCATCTCAGAGAAGTCGGAAGGCCAAGAGGTGGTTCCTTACTGGCGACTTCGAGACTAGAGCATTAGCTGATCAACAGTTTTCCTTGTTATGCAGATTCTCGCAACACTGGACGATGCGCCAGCTGCATCTGACGAAGAATATAACGAAGACTATGAAGACGATGTGTTTGAAGCTGACCCTGCTACCTTGAACGAAAGCTCGAGCAGTTGTCCGCCAGAACCATCTCAAGTCACAAAGGATATCATACTGGAGGCTGGCAGTCCTAGTACTAGCGACCCTATCGTCGAACAAGCCTCAAAGATCGATGCTTTGCTAGCAAAATATGGCGATTTCTACGCACAAGACAATGAAGAAGAGCCGACAACACAAGAAACTGTTTTGCAGCAGCAGGAGACGCAGGAGGCTTCCGAGCAAACGTCAACAGTCTTTGCGTCAACTAAAGATGCTGGCGGTGGAAGTTCTACAGCACCTGTGCTATCAACCGACTCAGCCGATTCACCTCCTTCCGTACGTCCGTCTGTCAATGAATGTCGCTCGATTCTCATGAAAACTGACACTACTACATTGATTCAGAGTCCGCCACCTCCACCTCCTCCAGCTGACGAAGATGAAGACGACCAAGAATTGGAAAGATTTTCATTAAATGCCACATCGATCGACCTCGAGTCTCAAGTACCACCAGTTGTACATTCCGCATCAATAGTGACTACGCGGCTATCAACTGCGGATAAATTCCGCCAGATAGAAAGCCAAGTTGCCTCGCTGCGCTTCATTCAGCCTGGTACTCCAAATCTTGCGGCTGCAGATTCTCCTTCCACTGAGAGCGTGCATCCAGTCTCCTCCAGACTATTGGCAGGCTATCGATCTTCAGCCGCTGCTCCGCCACCTTTCATTGAGCCAATGGCAATCTCGTTTGATCCAGATCTTCTAGCAGAAGACGAAGACACACAGCGTGAGATCGACGAGTTTGTGCGAAGTTCCCAAATCTTAAGACAAGAGAAACGTGAAGCCACTCAACGAGCCAGCATCGCAAGAGAGAATGGCCTGGTGCTGCGTCTTCAGCAGGCTCAGCGTCATATTCTTCAGCTGAAAGAACATATTCAGACAACAGCAAGCGACCCGCCTGGCAAGCTCACCGCATCGAAAGCAGATACAGATAACAAACTCGAGACCGAGAATATTCCAGCTGCAAGAAGCGAGGCTTCCCATGCTTACAAGAAACTTCAGAAGGAGATCAAGACTCAGGACAACTTGATTGAGGCTTTTCAAAAGGAAAATGAACGTCTTATGCAGCAACTCAAGCAAGTTCGACAGGACGTTCATTACGACGTCCATGAGGCGAATGAAGAACTGCGTCGGCAGGTTAGAAAGCTACAAGATCAGCTCGGAGAGACATCAACTCTCGGGGGTGGTGGCGGTCTTACCAGCAAAGCGCAATATCGTGCTGCGGTGGAAGCGAGACTAGAAGTAGAGGCGCATGCTATGGCTCTTCAAGAAGAGCTTGCTGGCGTCCGACTTTCGTATCAACAGAAGCTTAATGAAGTCACACTGGAACTTGACCGTGTGAAGAAAGCTAAGGTCGAGCTTGAGTGTCGCTACGAAGGTGTCGACTTGACTCAAGTAGCGCAGGAAGCTCAACAAGCTCGAGAGCTGCAGAATGAGCTGGAACTGTGCAAGAAAGAACACTCTCATGCCTTAAATGCACTACAGAAGAAGCTGGACTGGTACGTGGAAAACCAGAGACTGCTCGACGATCAGGACGAAGAGCTACAACGTCTTCGTCGCCAGGTTGCTGCTCAAACCCCCGAGCCTACGCTGTCTAACGACCAGAAAGCCAATCCATCGCCTGCTCGATCACATCGTCGATCACCGATGGACATTCGGCGGATTCAAGAGCTTGAAAGTCGACTTGCAGAGCTGGAAGAGGCCATGAGACGTCGACACCCGGACAGCTTGGCGAACCTCATCTTGGTTTCCCGTCGAGCAGATGAGGAGTCCAAGACACGGGCACTGGAACGTGACTATCAAGAGAAGCTGGCAGCGTTATCGCGAGAGCTAGAGCAAGCACATGAGTCGAACGAGACCAAGTTAGCAAGTTTCCGTCAGCAACAAGAAAAATTGTTGTTGCAGTACAAACGGAAGATTAAAGAACAGGAAAAGCAGCTCAAGCAGGTCTCCAAGACCCCGTTATCACACAGACCCATGTCCAAGGACAGCTCTACGTCCGAAGCGGAGCTGGCGAAGATCCGACGCTTTTACACGAACAAGATCAAAGAGCTGGAGCGCAAGTGGGAGGCCAAGTATCGATCTCTGCGCAAGCAACAGTATTCTGGACGAGGCAACCAGCCGAAGCAAGAAAGTCTCACGTATGCGGAGTCTACTGTGGTGATTGCAAACTTGCAACGTCAGCTACGCGAGCAGGAGGTGGAGTTGAAGCAAGAGAAATCTAGAGTGGAGCAACTCGAGGCAGAAAGTCAACTGGCGAACACTCCTACTAAAGATTCGTCAGCCATGGAGGAAGATGGCAAACGCAAGCAGCTTGAGGACCAAGTTGCGGACTTGAAGGCGCAGTTGGAAGACAGCGAGAGCGCTCGAGCCAGACTGGCACAGACGTTGACCACTGTCCAGGCATTAGGTTTGGCTCGAGCGCTCAACTCCGAGCCTAAAGAAGTGACGCAGAGCTTGCCAGAGTCGCAACCTGTTGTATCCCAGCACGCACAAGCCGAGCTAACGCAGCTAAGACAAGAATTGGATGCAGCGCGAGAGACTTTAAACAGTGAGCGAGCGACTGCTACCGAGACAATTGAGCGACATCAGCAGCAAATTGCTAACTGTATCGAGAAGAACACCGCTCTGGAAGCTCAGTTGACAGGGAACCAACGTGAAATGCAGAGTCTTGAGAAATTGGCGCTTGAAGCGGAGCGACACAATCGTTCTTTGGAGATACAAGCTCAGCGAGTTCCTGAACTGGAAGAAGACCTTTTAGCCTTGCGTCGCGAACTCCAGTTGCCACAAACGCCTTCCATGGTGCAGTACCGGTCCCTAGAACTCCAGGTAGCTACTCTGGAGCAGAAACATAAGCTGCGTGAAGCTGAGCTCAAGGTGGTGCTGGATCGTGCCTTGACGTCAACTCACCTCGAACATCTGAGTCGCGAACGTGCTCATCGTGCAGCAATGGCAGCCAAAACCGCAGAGATCGCCTCTTTCAAGCGCCAACTGGAGGAAATCCTAGACGAACTAGCACAACTGCAGCAACCGTCCTCACCACGGTCGCCCAGTACAAAACCACTCAACCAACCTGAGAACAACCAAGACGTAACTTGGTAGCAACACGGTATCAAATGAACGGATTCCTGATGGCAAAGCATCTATTGGAGCGTACGGTTAAATAGCTAAAGCACGGGGACCAGAGCTCTCCAAGCCTTCAGTATCGTAGCGTGTTCTTGAGACCTAATTCGGCTACATGTAAACTTGGAAATGGATTGCACACTTTGTTCTCCCCGTCGTAACTGTCTGCTGCCTTAGGTCATGGAGTCGATGAGAGCGCTGCGCATGGTGGTGGCAATGTTGGTGGGCTGTGCGTTCTGGAGCTTGAAGATGCTCTCGACCACTGAGATCTCGGTGGACGTGGTGTCTAGGCCACAGAAAGCCGTCCAATCGTTCACCACGAGGCCGGCGCCAATTACATCGCTACCGCGGTTGACTGTACCGGCCACAACGGGCACCTGTAGCAGAGAACTGAGCTCCTCCTGGTCCTCCACGCTGGTGCGCGGGTGCACGAGGCATCCCTGGTTGGACAGAGCGCTGTAGCTGCCTACGAGCGCGTTGCCCGCGACAGTTTGACGGAAGACCTCGACGCCGAGAGTGTCAGCCACGATTTCTTCCGTTTCACGATCCAGATCCGTGTGTACGAGCGCCACGTGATCGTTCGTGGTGATGCAGTTACCCAAAGCCGAGAGTCGCTCCTCCACACGCTGTACCACGACCGAGTCGGGCAGCGCGTTACGGATGTGCTGCATCTCCTGGTCCGTGGTGGTGCTGGGAAGCAGCAGACCGCGCTTGTTGCCCACAGCCACGCGTCCTACGAAGCGGCAGCCGGCGATACTGGCGTGCACTACGGGAATGTGGTCTGCCAGCTCAGACTCGAAGGTGCTGTAGAAGTTCTCGCTGCCGCCCACACACACGAGGCAGTACGAGTTGGTGAGCTTAGAGAAGACACCGATCTCATTGCTGTTCTCGAATTGACAGCGGATAGCCATGGCTGCTGTGTGTTTGAGTTGGTATAGAGAAAGAAGGTGGTGACTTGAGAGCTTCTGATTGACAAATGGGGCGAAGCTGCGCGGCCACCAACTCCCCTTTGATACGATCGCACTTAGTGGGAAAAGAGACTGTACCCATTGCCTTTGAGCCAAAAAGACTGTTCCGCGAAGAGGAAATCCAGCAAAATTTGTCTCTTATTGCAATAATTTCATGTACAAGAGCTTCTAGGGTCAGTTGTCGTCGGACAGAAGGAAGACCACCACTCACCAGGCCCCTTGACTCAGAAATCTGATTATCATTCCGAGGACGCAACGTCAGCCTCAGTGCCCAGAACGCCCTGGCATAGAGCGACATGTGTCCTACAGGCTGTAGTACAGCCTGGTGCGCTTCCGTCTCTATTCCCTTGGCTTCATTTGATTGACGTTGACCATGCAGTCCCCACGGTGATTTCGCCACTTCGGAATCCCCAAAGCACCCGGCATATTTGTCCCAAGTACCAGCAAAATGACCCGTTCCCTGTCAACGTTAACTGTGGAGGAAGTGGAGTTCATTCGCGCATCGTGCAAGTGCAACGCGAACGCAGCCGACCGCTGCACACTGGAGTGTCAAGGAGATGAAGGCAAACATGCAAGCGTCGAGCGGATGCGCAAGGACATAGATGATTGCTGCTCCTGTGTGAATGACCGATTCATGTACGTGTGGAGGAAGAAGACTTTTAACCACTGGCGTCAATTTGTACAAGGGATTAATCTCGCTGAAGGAGATGGAAGTCGGGAGCGGTCGCGATCAAGAGCATCGTCTTCCATGAGTCGCAGCCGGTGCAGCAGCTTCATGGAGACGATCGATGACGGCGTCATTAGCAGCACGAACAGGCTGCTTGATATCGCACCCGCACTGCACATTATAGTCCCGTACCTGCGTGTCGACGAGATATACCGTTTGACGCTCACGAACAAGACAATCTGCCGAGAAGTTGGTCGAGCAACACACGCGCTCTCGTTTATTCCAGCTCGGAAGGTGATTTTCGACGAGAATTTGATGAGTCTACCAATGCAGTTTCCTCATCTGAAGGAGGTTAACCTTACAGGCTGCTCGAGCCTCACCGATGAATCTGTTGAGCAGCTCGCCAACCTGTCTGGACTAACATCTGTGGCGCTGAAAGGATGCTACCAGGTGACTGACAAAAGCATCAAGCTACTCACCGAGTCGCAGTCGAACTCGCTCACGTCGGTCAATCTCGGATATTGCAAAGTCGTGAGTGACGAGGGGATTACAGCAATTGCCTCGAATCTATCGAAGCTCAACTACCTAAATCTTCGCGGCTGTAGCCAAGTCGGCGACAACGGAATTCGTGCTCTTGCTCGGCTCAAGAACCTCCAGACGCTCAATCTCTGGTATTGCAACCAAGGAGCTCTCACAGACGGCGGTATCTCCGCGTTGGCGGAGGTGACGTCGCTTACAAGTCTCAATTTGTCGAACTGCAGTCAGCTGACGGACGAGGGCATCAGCTCACTCAGCACGCTTGTGAAACTCCGACACTTGGAGATTGCAAATGTTGGAGAAGTCACCGATCAAGGCTTTTTAGCTCTAGCACCGCTAGTTAACCTCGTCACATTGGATGTGGCAGGATGCTACAATATCACCGACGCAGGCACCGAGGTGCTCGTGAATTTCCCAAAGCTAGCATCCTGCAATCTTTGGTACTGCAGCGAGATCGGCGACGCTACGTTCCAGCACATGGAGTCTCTGACAAAGATGCGATTCTTGAATTTCATGAAATGCGGCAAAGTCACCGATCGAGGACTGCGGTCCATCGCGAAGCTCCGCAATCTGACATCGTTGGACATGGTGAGCTGCTTTAACGTTACAGACGAGGGTCTCAACGAGCTGTCGAAGCTAAATCGACTCAAGTCGCTGTACTTGGGTGGCTGCTCTGGCATCCGAGACGAAGGCATCGCAGCGCTGTCTCACTTGAGTTCATTAGTGATCTTGGATCTCTCGAATTGTCGCCAGGTGGGTAATAAGGCTTTACTGGGGATCGGTGCGTTGCGCAACCTCACGAACCTCAATCTCATGCGCTGTAATCGCATCGACGACGATGGGATCGCTCATCTCGCGGGACTCACGCGCTTGAAGACACTGAACCTGGCAAATTGCCGTCTTCTCACGGATAGGGCGACGAAAACTGTTGCGCAGATGACGGGACTGGAGTCTCTGGTGCTGTGGTACTGTAACAAGCTCACGGATGCAGGAATCCTCAACTTGTCAACACTGACAAAGCTGCAGTCGATCGATCTGGCAAGCTGCTCCAAGTTGACCGATGCGAGTCTCGAGGCTTTCCTCAACATGCCGAATCTTACGTCGCTAGATCTCGGAAATTGCTGTCTCCTCTCCGACGAAGGTATGCTGACACTGAGCAAGGTCACGTCACTAACGTCATTGAACTTGTCCGAGTGTGGAGAGATTACCGACACGGGACTCGAGCACTTGAAAACACTCGTCAACCTCTCGTCTGTCAACCTTTGGTATTGCACGAAGGTGACACCGGTCGGTATCAACTTCTTGCCGGTGCAGTCCGTAGATTTCTAGACACATGCGAAGTAAGGCTCTGTACATGTAGAACGTGGTTAGATTGTTCAGCGTATTCTTGACAAAACCGCAGTGTAGTTTGATTGTTTCTTACTGCAAACGAATGTAAAATTGTTTTATGCTCCGCGACGACGCGCAAGAATAGCAGCCAACTCGCTGTTGGCTCCTCCAATTCCTCCGTTCGACGACGAGCTCTGCACATTTTCGCCAAACTTTCGAGCCGACTCCATTGTAGCCTTGGCCGACTTTTTTGACGTCAACGCATGCTTTCGAGCTTCTTTCTCCGCCTGCTTTTTGGCTTTCTTTTCGGCAACACGACGCAGGCGTTCCGCTTCACGTTCACGGCCGCGTTGCTCTTGACGTTGGGCTCGAATAGCCAGCTCTTCCTCGCGCTGCCTTTCCAGCTTCTTACGACGAGCCTTCTCGCGTTTTCGACGCTTGCGAATGTACTCATCAGGCACACCCGGCGCTACTTGAATCTGCACGTTGTTGGCATCTCCAGTGATTCGGTCGTGACCTGAAGACACGAACTGAATCTGTTGGGGTGGCGTCTTTGACAGTCCTGCGCTTGCAGCCCGACGCAAACGAACGGAATCGCTGAAACTGATCGGCGTCGCAACGCTGGCCAAAGAGCGGATGGCGTCGACAAGAGTGACAGCGATTTCCGTCTTCTTCTCGGACAACAGGAGCTGGTCTTCAGGCATCTCGGTGGACATGAGTCCAATTACTTTATCGTACACGCGCACTGGTGTGTAGAATCCAAGATCCGGCACCACTTCCAGTTGCTTGCACACGTCGTTGCAGTAGATTTTGCCAGTGTACCGACAGTGGTGACGACGATTGAACAGCCCAAACTTCTTGCCAGTCGCCATGCAAACCATCGTAGACTTGTTCTCCGCCCAGTTGCTCTTGTTGGGCTCGGGAAGAAGCGGTTCTGGACGAACCTTCAGCACGAAATACGGGTCTGCCAATGTACTCATCGTGATCTCTTCTATCGCAGTCAATCGTAGACGACGACGCATGTACACCAACGGGGGGACCCACGTGCTCTTCGGGTCCACAACAGGTTGCCACGTGCGCTTCTCCATCAAATACAAATACTGGTCCGTAATAATCAGAATTCGTCCTACCACCACAATTGGAGGTCCGTCAGGAGACACGCCAGCGATCGGACAGGCTTTTTCAATCTCATCCATGAAGACAATCTTCTCGGAGTCTCTATAGTGCTGAATAATCCCCATAACTGCTTCGCGAATTGTACTGTCGCGCAGATAATCCCCATCAAATGGCCGGTAGATACTCACACGCTGCCTCTGCTTGTTGTTGGACGTGTAAAGCTTCGTGATGTCGTGACTCAGTTGCAGAAAATGCCGACGACCAAAGTATTTCTTCCACACCTTCTGGATGCGCATGGCAAATGATCCCAGCTTCTTCTCTCGTAGTTTCTCGAGCTCAAAGAAAGTTTCAGGTGTCTGGATAAACACCATCGTCTTTCCAAGCTGAACTTCCGTTTCTAGTTGCGGCAGTGATTTCACAGCAGCGCGTAGTACTGCTTGAGTGCCCTTCTTGTCCGAGCCACGGAATTCCGGGTACGTCTCCTTACTGAGCAGACGGAAACGATCCACAAAGCGCCCATAGTCTCCACGATACGCGTAGCCAGCGCGACGGACCTTCACATTTTCAAGCAGACCCAGATATTTAATCTGATGAACTACACGACGGTCGTCCATCTTGTTGGACTGTTTCTGATCGTTGGACTTGATGCAGCGCACGTAGTGAGGCGTGCAGTCCATCAACGCGGTCACAAGAGCCTCACACTGAGTTCGAATCTTATATCCTGCTGTATGCGCCATACGCTTGTCGTTCAGGTCGATCTCTTCGGGGAAGATGTAGCGCATGAGTTTGTTAGACGTCTCGCTAATAATGAGCGCGATGTCCTTACTCAAAAAGTCCTTGTTGGAGTCTCCGAAGCCGTCGATGTTGTACTGTACGTCGCCTGCATAGTGTTTAATCTCGAAAGTCTTTCCACGCTTGGAAAAATGCGGATGCGAGCCGTGGATACCTGCCACTTTATCCAGAAAGTTCGCATCCACGCTCTCCCACTGTCGGGAATGCATCGTCTTGACCGTGTCGTCAAGAATGAGGAAAATGCCAGGCGTAGGACGACGTGCCTCGATCAAGTCGCACACAACCTTGTTGTTAAAGAACGGAATCGGCGCCCATTCAATCCCTTCACGCGCATACTCTTCCTGCTCGCTTTTAAGAGTCAGCTCAATGAAAATCTGCTGCAGTTTCTCGTTCACGTAGTTGATACAGAACTGCTCGAAGCCGTTCTTGTCGAAAATCTCAAACCCGTAGATATCCAAGATACCAATCGTGGTCATATCGTCTATTTCCAAGATTTCACCATGTTTCTCAGCCTTCTTCTCGATATCCAGTGCGTGGTTCACGCGTTCCACCAGAAAGTCAAACAGTCGGTCGTAAACAGTCTTCGCAATCGAGTCCCGTTGAGCCTTCGCTTGACTGACATTCTGTGGCACCTCGTACGACTCAATTTTGCCTCCAGGAGCCATCGTTTGCAGCAATTTGTAGCACAAAGCGTGCTCTAATTTCGCAGCATCCAGCCCCAGCAACTCGCACGCAATCTGCAAACTTTCGCGCTTGCGAACAGATGAACCCTCTGCATCTCCTACAGTCTCGGGCTGGAACTGGGTATTGCCAATGTGCAGCACCGCCGCCAACGTCTGGATTACCAGCTCGATCTGTTTACGTTTTATGCCCACATGCTGCATGGCGGCCATGGTTTCTTCGAACTCCTGCGCGTCATTGACGTCGTCGACGTCATAGCAGCCACTGGCCTTCAGGTAGTGATAGCTGTCGGGTCCTCCTCGATCCAAATAGAGTTTCTGCTTGGCTGCAGAAGGCAACCCGGCGAGCACCTGGTAGAAAATGTGGAAGTTTCGCTCTCCTTTACCAGGCTTAACGACGCGGGACTTCTCCAATAGGTAATTTGTCACTTTTCCGCCTTGTGGGCGTCCAGCAGAGTCGAAGAGCAGCTCAAAGTATTTTCCGAAGCGACTAGAATTGTTATTTCGCAGCGTCTTGGCGTTGCCAAACGCTTCAAGCAGCGGGTTGCTCTCTAGAAATGTGCGTTTAACCTTGTCCACGCCTGCACCACTGCCACTGACCCCTGCAATGTAGTTCTGGATCTGTTTAGAGGCTTCGGTCTTGCCCGCACCACTCTCTCCGCTAATGATGACGCACTGGTTGTCTTCTTCGCTCAACATGGTGCGATATGTCTCCTCGGCAGTGGCGAACACGTGCGGAGCCACGTCGATGCGCGCTTTATGCATGTATGCGTGCATATTGTCCTCACCGTAGATATCCAACCACTTGTATGGGTTTACAACCACCAAGACGTGGCCAATGTACGAGTAGATGACGTCAGCGGCGTGGCGCATCTTGAGGTTCTCCAGGATGGACGTCTCGCTCACGGAAGGCAGCAGCACCAGGTCATCCACACCCACTACTACGCGTTCATCCGAGAATAGTGCTGCGTGCTTGGCCGCTGCTGAAGGCTTGCGTCGCCCCATAATCGGCCGAGGTGAAGTTGCTACAACTGCTTCAAGGGAGAAGTCCTGGACTGAGGGGAAATCGAGGCGGAATCGGTGCGACAACCGAGGCGACTTTGTACCGGTACTAAAACCAGTATTCGTTGTTTTTCTTTTAATAATTTTAGCTGTAAGAAACTTTGAAAGAAAAAAACTCTAAAAACACACCAAATATGGAGAGAGGAGAGTCAGACTAACTTAGTTACTACACCTCTGGTCCGAAATGACGGATAGTATGCTACAGGATTGTGTAATATTCCATCCTGTAGCATTATACATGTATCATATTGTGCGAAACTCAACTGAGCGATCTCCTATCGGAAGTTCGTGCAGTCGCGCTGTGACGGGGTCACACAGCACCTTGCGGTAGAGGAAGTTAGCTTCCGAGAGTTTACAAACTCTCAATGAACGGCAGTTCACAGGTCCCCTCTTTATCAAAAGAGAGCGAAGTGACCTATTTAAGGTAGAATGTAAACTGAGTATATTTATAGGTCGATAAAGCTTGGGTTTAATACAAACTAAAAGTCACCTATAGAAAGTATCAAGTCCCAGCTGTAACGGGGTACGTAGCCCTAAGTGTACCCTGGTTACATGAAGTGTGACACTTCACACTTCAGGTGTATGACACGTCATAGTTCGGGATATTTGGTACAAGGTACCAAGGTCGCTCAAAGCCAAGCATTGGTCAAACGACATTGCATTTCGATAGGTAACTTATAGTTTGTATTAAACCTGTGAGATGCCAGCCCCTGTGTAAAGAGGCTAGCACCAGCAGTACATACAAGTGGCCTGTCAGTGCCTGGCATTGACACTGACAGCCGATCCTACATCCTATCCTACGCCTGTTGCTGCAGCCTGCGGCTGCGCACTTACCGACGTGCCACGTGCGGTTATACCAAGTTTACTATGATCGATGGACAAGAGCGACCGTGCCGCCGTGCTGCTCACGACGACACTGACTTAGCTAAAGTATGGTTTATATTAGTTTATGTATCGAATAGAACTTGCGGAGAGGCGTACTGGCTTGCGTGAGGCTTGCTCTCTCTCTCTCTCACAATTTAATTTGCGTATATATCCAACCACTTGTATGGGTTTACAACCACCAAGACGTGGCCAATGTACGAGTAGATGACGTCAGCGGCATGGCGCATCTTGAGGCTCTCCAGGATGGACGTCTCGCTCACGGAAGGCAGCAGCACCAGGTCATCCACACCCACTACTACGCGTTCATCCGAGAATAGTGCTGCGTGCTTGGCCGCTGCTGCGTGCTTGGCCGCTGCTGTAGGCTTGCGTCGCCCCATAATCGGCCGAGGTGAAGTTGCTACAACTGCTTCAAGGGAGAAGTCCTGGACTGAGGGGAAATCGAGACGGAATCGGTGCGACAAGTGCCGTCAACCGAGGCGACTTTGTACCGGTACTAAAACCAGTATTCGTTGTTTTTCTTTTAATAATTTTAGCTGTAAAAAACTTTGAAAGAAAAAAACTCTAAAAACACACCAAATATGGAGAGAGGAGAGTCAGACTAACTTAGTTACTACACCTCTGGTCCGAAATGATGGATAGTATGCTACAGGATTGTGTAATATTCCATCCTGTAGCATTATACATGTATCATATTGTGCAAAACTCAACCGAGCGATCTCCTATCGGAAGTTCGTGCAGTCGCGCTGTGACGGGGTCACACAGCACCTTGCGGTAGAGGAAGTTAGCTTCCGAGAGTTTACAAACTCTCAATGAACGGCAGTTCACAGGTCCCCTCTTTATCAAAAGAGAGCGAAGTGACCTATTTAAGGTAGAATGTAAACTGAGTATATTTATAGGTAGATAAAGCTTGGGTTTAATACAAACTAAAAGTCACCTATAGAAATGCAATGTCACCAGCTGTAACGGGGTACGTAGCCCTAAGCGTACCCTGGTTACATGAAGTGTGACACTTCACACTTCAGGTGTATGACACGTCATAGTTCGGGATATTTGGTACAAGGTACCAAGGTCGTTCAAAGCCAAGCATTGGTCAAACGACATTGCATTTCGATAGGTAACTTATAGTTTGTATTAAACCTGTGAGATGCCAGCCCCTGTGTAAAGAGGCTAGCACCAGCAGTACATACAAGTGGCCTGTCAGTGCCTGGCATTGACACTGACAGCCGATCCTACATCCTATCCTACGCCTGTTGCTGCAGCCTGCGGCTGCGCATGCCACGTGCGGTTATACCAAGTTTACTGTGATCGATGGACAAGAGCGACCGCGCCGCCGTGCTGCTCACGACGACACTGACTTAGGTAAAGTATGGTTTATATTAGTTTATGTATCGAATAGAACTTGCGGAGAGGCGTACTGGCTTGCGTGAGGCTTGCTCTCTCTCTCTCTCTCTCACAATTTAATTTGCGTATATATCCAACCCCTTGTATGGGTTTACAACCACCAAGACGTGGCCAATGTACGAGTAGATGACGTCAGCGGCGTGGCGCATCTTGAGGTTCTCCAGGATGGACGTCTCGCTCACGGAAGGCAGCAGCACCAGGTCATCCACACCCACTACTACGCGTTCATCCGAGAATAGTGCTGCGTGCTTGGCCGCTGCTGTAGGCTTGCGTCGCCCCATAATCGGCCGAGGTGAAGTTGCTACAACTGCTTCAAGGGAGAAGTCCTGGACTGAGGGGAAATCGAGACGGAATCGGTGCGACAAGTGCCGTCAACCGAGGCGACTTTGTACCGGTACTAAAACCAGTATTCGTTGTTTTTCTTTTAATAATTTTAGCTGTAAAAAACTTTGAAAGAAAAAAACTCTAAAAACACACCAAATATGGAGAGAGGAGAGTCAGACTAACTTAGTTACTACACCTCTGGTCCGAAATGGTGGATAGTATGCTACAGGATTGTGTAATATTCCATCCTGTAGCATTATACATGTATCATATTGTGCAAAACTCAACCGAGCGATCTCCTATCGGAAGTTCGTGCAGTCGCGCTGTGACGGGGTCACACAGCACCTTGCGGTAGAGGAAGTTAGCTTCCGAGAGTTTACAAACTCTCAATGAACGGCAGCTCACAGGTCCCCTCTTTATCAAAAGAGAGCGAAGTGACCTATTTAAGGTAGAATGTAAACTGAGTATATTTATAGGTCGATAAAGCTTGGGTTTAATACAAACTAAAAGTCACCTATAGAAATGCAATGTCACCAGCTGTAACGGGGTACGTAGCCTTAAGTGTACCCTGGTTACATGAAGTGTGACACTTCACACTTCAGGTGTATGACACGTCATAGTTCGGGATATTTGGTACAAGGTACCAAGGTCGCTCAAAGCCAAGCATTGGTCAAACGACATTGCATTTCGATAGGTAACTTATAGTTTGTATTAAACCTGTGAGATGCCAGCCCCTGTGTAAAGAGGCTAGCACCAGCAGTACATACAAGTGGCCTGTCAGTGCCTGGCATTGACACTGACAGCCGATCCTACATCCTATCCTACGCCTGTTGCTGCAGCCTGCGGCTGCGCACTTACCGACGTGCCACGTGCGGTTATACCAAGTTTACTATGATCGATGGACAAGAGCGACCGTGCCGCCGTGCTGCTCACGACGACACTGACTTAGGTAAAGTATGGTTTATATTAGTTTATGTATCGAATAGAACTTGCGGAGAGGCGTACTGGCTTGCGTGAGGCTTGCTCTCTCTCTCTCACAATTTAATTTGCGTATATATCCAACCACTTGTATGGGTTTACAACCACCAAGACGTGGCCAATGTACGAGTAGATGACGTCAGCGGCGTGGCGCATCTTGAGGCTCTCCAGGATGGACGTCTCGCTCACGGAAGGCAGCAGCATCAGGTCATCCACACCCACTACTACGCGTTCATCCGAGAATAGTGCTGCGTGCTTGGCCGCTGCTGTAGGCTTGCGTCGCCCCATAATCGGCCGAGGTGAAGTTGGTACAACTGCTTCAAGGGAGAAGTCCTGGACTGAGGAGAAATCGAGACGGAATCGGTGCGACAAGTGCCGTCAACCGAGGCGACTTTGTACCGGTACTAAAACCAGTATTCGTTGTTTTTCTTTTAATAATTTTAGCTGTAAAAAACTTTGAAAGAAAAAAACTCTTAAAAACACACCAAATATGGAGAGAAGAGAGTCAGACTAACTTAGTTACTACACCTCTGGTCCGAAATGACGGATAGTATGCTACAGGATTGTGTAATATTCCATCCTGTAGCATTATACATGTATCATATTGTGCAAAACTCAACCGAGCGATCTCCTATCGGAAGTTCGTGCAGTCGCGCTGTGACGGGGTCACACAGCACCTTGCGGTAGAGGAAGTTAGCTTCCGAGAGTTTACAAACTCTCAATGAACGGCAGCTCACAGGTCCCCTCTTTATCAAAAGAGAGCGAAGTGACCTATTTAAGGTAGAATGTAAACTGAGTATATTTATAGGTCGATAAAGCTTGGGTTTAATACAAACTAAAAGTCACCTATAGAAATGCAATGTCACCAGCTGTAACGGGGTACGTAGCCCTAAGTGTACCCTGGTTACATGAAGTGTGACACTTCACACTTCAGGTGTATGACACGTCATAGTTCGGGATATTTGGTACAAGGTACCAAGGTCGCTCAAAGCCAAGCATTGGTCAAACGACATTGCATTTCGATAGGTAACTTATAGTTTGTATTAAACCTGTGAGATGCCAGCCCCTGTGTGAAGAGGCTAGCACCAGCAGTACATACAAGTGGCCTGTCAGTGCCTGGCATTGACACTGACAGCCGATCCTACATCCTATCCTACGCCTGTTGCTGCAGCCTGCGGCTGCGCACTTACCGACGTGCCACGTGCGGTTATACCAAGTTTACTATGATCGATGGACAAGAGCGACCGTGCCGCCGTGCTGCTCACGACGACACTGACTTAGGTAAAGTATGGTTTATATTAGTTTATGTATCGAATAGAACTTGCGGAGAGGCGTACTGGCTTGCGTGAGGCTTGCTCTCTCTCTCTCTCACAATTTAATTTGCGTATATATCCAACCCCTTGTATGGGTTTACAACCACCAAGACGTGGCCAATGTACGAGTAGATGACGTCAGCGCTGTGGCGCATCTTGAGGTTCTCCAGGATGGACGTCTCGCTCACGAAAGGCAGCAGCACCAGGTCATCCACACCCAATAATACGCGTTCATCCGAGAATAGTGCTGCGTGCTTGGCCGCTGCTGTAGGCTTGCGTCGCCCCATAATCGGCCGAGGTGAAGTTGCTACAACTGCTTCAAGGGAGAAGTCCTGGACTGAGGGGAAATCGAGACGGAATCGGTGCGACAAGTGCCGTCAACCGAGGCGACTTTGTACCGGTACTAAAACCAGTATTCGTTGTTTTTCTTTTAATAATTTTAGCTGTAAAAAACTTTGAAAGAAAAAAACTCTAAAAACACACCAAATATGGAGAGAGGAGAGTCAGACTAACTTAGTTACTACACCTCTGGTCCGAAATGACGGATAGTATGCTACAGGATTGTGTAATATTCCATCCTGTAGCATTATACATGTATCATATTGTGCAAAACTCAACCGAGCGATCTCCTATCGGAAGTTCGTGCAGTCGCGCTGTGACGGGGTCACACAGCACCTTGCGGTAGAGGAAGTTAGCTTCCGAGAGTTTACAAACTCTCAATGAACGGCAGCTCACAGGTCCCCTCTTTATCAAAAGAGAGCGAAGTGACCTATTTAAGGTAGAATGTAAACTGAGTATATTTATAGGTCGATAAAGCTTGGGTTTAATACAAACTAAAAGTCACCTATAGAAATGCAATGTCACCAGCTGTAACGGGGTACGTAGCCCTAAGTGTACCCTGGTTACATGAAGTGTGACACTTCACACTTCAGGTGTATGACACGTCATAGTTCGGGATATTTGGTACAAGGTACCAAGGTCGTTCAAAGCCAAGCATTGGTCAAACGACATTGCATTTCGATAGGTAACTTATAGTTTGTATTAAACCTGTGAGATGCCAGCCCCTGTGTGAAGAGGCTAGCACCAGCAGTACATACAAGTGGCCTGTCAGTGCCTGGCATTGACACTGACAGCCGATCCTACATCCTATCCTACGCCTGTTGCTGCAGCCTGCGGCTGCGCACTTACCGACGTGCCACGTGCGGTTATACCAAGTTTACTATGATCGATGGACAAGAGCGACCGTGCCGCCGTGCTGCTCACGACGACACTGACTTAGCTAAAGTATGGTTTATATTAGTTTATGTATCGAATAGAACTTGCGGAGAGGCGTACTGGCTTGCGTGAGGCTTGCTCTCTCT